ATCTTATAAATGTGTTAGAAACAATCACATGATATATTGCCGTTCTTTATCTTATGCCTATTGTAGAAGAAAACTTTTTCTTTCCTGCTTTTGTTCTGTCTTTCTTCCATCCTCCCACTCCGAACTTTCCTTCCTAATTCACTCAAATAGTTATTGGGTTCCTATTAAGTGTGGAGCTGTGCTAGGCAATTAGAGCCACTCTGAGGACCAGACAGTTCCTATTTCTTTTTGTCTCTCTGGTGAAATAGACTGGACAGCCTGACATGTGGCTAATAGCTTGTTTGGCGTTTTTATGTTTGATCTTTGTTGCCAGCCCTGGGGCTTGAACTCTGGGCCTGGGCGCTGTCCCTGAGCTTTTTATTCCCTCAAGGCTAGCGCTCTACCACTTGAGCTACAGCACCACTTCCAGCTTTTTCTGTTTATGTGGTATTGAAGAATCGAACCCAGGGCTTCATGAATACTAGGCAGTCACTCTATCAAGCCACATTCCCAGTCCTTGACTTTTCCTTCTTTTATTTTTAGCAATATAGTTCTTATCTCTCAGAGCTGAAAAAATAAAGGTGAAGTTTAAAGAGAAAAAAAGACAAGTAAATAAAACCTCTCCTTAAATTTTGCTAGCCTTTAGAACACTCCACTTGGTTTTAAGAAAAGGAGGCTGATTAACTTGTGGAGTAATTATTATATGCTAGATATTTTATAGGAAGTAATGACTTAAGGTGCACCACAACAATATAAGGTGGCCATTATTATCTCATTTTACAGATGAGGAAGTTGAGGTTTAGAGCAGTTATCTATCTTGGCTAAGATTACTTAGCAATGGAATGGAAAGAATATGAATTTTCAAGACAGAACTCATAGGAGATGGATTTTTGCCACCAGATCTTGTTCTTCATCGTAAGAATCTGGAACTAGCTGATGATGAAGGGGAGTCAATGTACCATCAGAAATGGTGGATAATATTTCATTTGTAGGGGAATGTGTTTGAGTGAGAGACAACATGGCTTTCATATGGTTCTCAAGGAGGGGCATTACCTGTTAAATATCACTACTAAGCAGAAAAATCTGCTTGTCCAGTAATGAAATCACACATCCTGGATGTTAGCACTCTTGACCTTTGACCAAAATTTTAAGTTTCCAGCTGAGGTGCTCAATTTGCAGGCACTTTTTCTGTTTTGTTTTAAAAGGTGGGGAGAATTATAGAATGAGTGCATCCTGCATACTTCCTTCCTGGTCTTTGTATAAATATCCTTCACTATTTTCTTGTTCACAATTGAATGTAGTAATGAT